CTTAATCAGCCAAGTAAGTCAATTTAAAATAGGATTTGAAACACTGCATCAGTGTATAAACCATTTGCTTCCAGTACAACACATACATGTCATTAAGGAAGAACTTACCACTCGGAGCATGGTGCCCACCTAATTTGTACTTCTTCACTTTGCTGAAAGGCATGACATGACAAGGACGCAAATAGTAATGAGTACTTTCCAAAGTTAGGTGATACAACTTTACAGAACATTATTGATACCATTTATAGACCATGAATAAGGTTAGATTTCTACACATAAACGATACTAACAGACAACAGCATCTGAAACCAGAGAGACAGAAGAATCCACTATCGTACCAGTATGGAGCAGCTTCTTTAAGACTGGGAGTTTCCTACAACAAAAGGTTATAAGGTGATGCAAAACGTAGTCCTGTAATGCTTACAATGACAACAAAAGGTGCAGTGTCGAGCATGGATTGAGGAACCTCACCGCTCCATACATGTACGATAGTGGATACTTGTGTATCCAGAGGCGGTTATATGTTAGTATCGTTTGGGCTCTGTGCAGATATCTCACTGATGGTCTGTAGACGGTACCAATAATGTTCTGTACGTTTTTATGTTATTTAACAAGAAAAACAAAAAGGAAGAAATTAGAACATACTTACATTTAAAACTCTTCTGTCCACAATGCTTTCATACAAGAAAACCTTCTGGGTCCTGTGTTTCCTGCATTCTAAAAATAAAAAACACAATTTTAATAATTAGGTAATAAGTCTTCCAAACAATCATTTAAAAAAATGTATTTAGTATAGTGCACATCGAACCTCTTCGACTTTTTTTGGAAGGTGGAGGCTGGGAGGAGAGGGGGCATGGAGGAGGTGGATGAGAAGAGAAGGGGGAGGGAGGAGGCTCTGGCTCTGGCTCTGGCTCTTGCTCTGGCTCTGGCTCTGGCTCTGGCTCTGGCTCTGGCTCTGGCTCTGGCTCTGGCTCTGGCTCTGGCTCTGGCTCTGGCTCTGGCTCTGGCTCTGGCTCTGGCTCTGGCTCTGGCTCTGGCTCTGGCTCTGGCTCTGGCTCTGGCTCTGGGGGGCTGGTGGAATGTTTTCCACCGGGGTTACAGGACGAGCAGAAGTTGTCCCAGCTTGTTGTGCAGCAAACCACACTGCAAATGTTGAAAATAATACAAGGGAACATTTACAGAATTAATTTGAAGGAAGACTTATTTTTGGCCTTACTTGCAAGAAATTAATAACATTCATTGAATTTCCCTCGTATTATAATTCAATCAGGTAGTTCTTAAGTGAATGAAATTCAGGTAGTGTGAAAATAATGTTTTTAAGCTGCTGACAGTAGACATATTGCTATGTTTCTCATATCAGTGTTAACGCAACAACTTATCGTATTTATTTAAGACCATGATCATAATGAAAATGTACCAGCTTCTCTCATTAAACTAGAAATAATTTAAAACGTGCAGATAAATACATTACATCTGTAATGAAACATGGTGATAAGACTTTTTACAGGTTGTTGCCGGGTATATTTTTACAGAGAACCACGTGGGTCTCACAGAAGAAAAAATAGGCATGACTTGTGCTGCTCATGTGGAAACTGTGGCTGCTCTGACATGTTTCTATGGATGCCCAGATAAAAAGCATAAGCCATAATGCTAAGCACACGTGCAGCTTAGGCATCATGTGTGTCCTGGACATTAGGGTGCTAGGTAGGATTGTCATGATATCTAATTTCATTGAATGTCTGTTGCCTCAACTCGTCTCTCGAGGTGTCTCCTCCTCTTCTCCCCATCTCATGTGAGAGGGATTAAGACATGAAGAGAATAGGCAAGAGTTACAAACTGGGAAATCAGAGCAGCCTCATATCTTTATGATGCCTGCAGAGATGGGTTTGTATTACGGGCACGTGCATAGCATAGCTTGTTAACTACGGGTGAGTAATGTCGACATTTGCCTTCAATTTAACCCTTTAAATATTTTTGTATAACACATTTCAAAATAACGTATGTGGTCCAAAGTGCTGTACTGGCTTAAAACACAATACAAAATAAAGAAATATGCATACAGGCAGTCATTTCCTGGATAAATCCATCTTCTCTCAGTCCATGCATGCGCTGTCGTAGCGCACTCACCACTCCAGTGCCCCCTTCGCACTTGCCTTCTCACTTTGGAGAGCTCTGGCTATGGTCTCGCATGGTCCAAAAAGAGCCTCACAGCACAAAAGGCCAAAGTATGTTTTGTCTTTTGTGGCTTGTTTGTATAGACCAGATACTTTTGCCCGAGTATCTCCCCTGACTGTCTTGTCTTGCTTAAGCATCTTCAGTGTCTGCAAAAGGGCTGTATATGAGTAGACAACCCGTGAAATCGCCCTTGTGCCTACAGCCCACCGAGTCGGGCATAATGACAGCAAGTTGCAACCCGCCTCATCATCACCAAACATGGACTGGAACAGCGTCTTGCGCTTTGATGACTCCCCGACCACCACTGCGCCGAGACGCTTCTAGGACGCTTATGAGCCGCTCAGAAGCGTCCCAGAAGCGTCTCGGCGCTGGGCTCCGCTCAAAATAGGATTCAAGTCTATTTTCGACGCGACGTGAGGCGTTGCATAGCGCCGGGCAGGAAGTGGACCGGTCAGAGCATCCAGTCAATCCCCAAAATAAACTAATTTTGCAGACCCTATCCCTCCGTAGTCTTTCAAGTAGGAGGAGAAATGCCAGCGTTCTCCTCCGGTTTACAGGCACTGTGTAAATTATATATAGAAAGATTATGATGATGAATGCATTTTTTTACACAAAAATACAGCAGCAACACATCTTTGATTCATGTTGTTTATAACTGGAATATTACAATTATCATTAACTTTGTCTGTACAAAGTAGCCTGTCCAGGAAATATGCCCAAATCAACAAAAACTGCGAGCCAGCACGGAGGAGGCCGGACCAAAACCGTGGCGCAGCCGTGACGCGACGCAGACGGACCCGGTGGAATCGAGGGATTACCCCTAGATTCCACCGGGTCCGTCTGCGCCGCGTCACGGCTGCGCCGCGGTTTTGGTCCGGCCTCCTCCGGCGTCATAGAGTGGCGAAGTCCCTCCCCTTCCGGTGGACCTCCATGGGACCTTATTTCGGAAAAATTATGTATTGAAGTCAATGGAGAGAGAAAGATTATCTTTCGATCCCGTTTGAATTGTGCCACGAATTACACATATGATGTTTGTCAATTTAAAAGATAATTTTGCAAGTCAAAAAAAAAAATGTGTCGTAAAACTGTGAAGTAACACATTTGTTTGTGTGAAACGCTCAATGAACTACATCTCTGGTCAACAACACACGTCACCAAGATGGCCGTCACTACTGTCTTGTCAACAAAACGATTGACTACCCTCACTATCACCACAATGAAACACGTCCTGAAGAATGTCATGCAAAGCTGCCTGCCTGCCTTCCTTTGATTCTCTCTGAACTGCCTGGTCGTTTTAATGTTTAATGTCAACCATTTGTGCAGATAGCATGAAGTAGAGAAGATCGCTAGCGTTAGCGTTAGCATTTCTCCCCCGGGCTTAAATGGTGTATTATAGAATGATCACACCGGTGACAGTACTCTTCAAAGGGTTCACGAAATATGACTACTACTCTTACTGTTTAACATTTTGGGTTACTTAATGTTACTTCATGTTAAGGCTAATACAAATGACAAGGCTGTAATGCTAACTAACGTGCTAGCTACTAGCTAGCTTGATCCACACACTCCTCTTTCATCAGACGGGAAGCGAAAGAACGAGCAAGACCCATTGCTGGTATAATAACAACCTGGTACTAAGCACACAGGCATCTTGTGAAAGTTATCTTATCTTAGCCAGCGCCATATAGATAGATTCTATCTATATGGCGCTGATCGTATATATACGGTATTATACGTATATCGTAGTGTCTCAATTGTGACATCACTTACGCGACTCTGGGATTTGTAGTCTTTCTAGTTGCGTATTTTTCATAGTCTTATTTTTCAACAGTTTTACGACAAACTGTGACTTTTTTGACATGGAAATGATTTTTTAAGATTGACAAACATCATATGTGTAATTCATGGCACAATTCAAACGGGATCGAAAGATAAGTTTTCTCTCTCCATTGACTTCAATACATTATTTTTCCGAAATAAGGTCCCATGGGGCGGAAGTAGATGGGCGTGACTTCGCCACTCTATACCCTACCAGGCGCGTTTCAGAAGCATTTCAGAAGCGGAGCGTCTTGCCTGCCGGCTCGCAGTTTTTGTTGATTTGGGCATATTTCCTGGACAGGCTACTTTGTACAGACAAAGTTAATAATAACTGTAATATTCCAGTTATAAACGACATGAATCAAAGATGTGTTGCTGTATTTTAGTGGTAAAAATGCATTCATCATCATAATATTCTATATATAATTTACACAGTGCCTGTAAACCGGAGGACAACGCTGGCATTTCTCCTCCTACTTGAAAGACTATGGAGGGATAGGGTCTGCAAAATTAGTTTGTGTGTGTGTATATAGAATGGGGAGGCTGTGGCGCAGTGGTCTAGTGCGTTGGTGTTCGGCTCAGAGGAGCACAGGTTCAAACCCCACTGCACTCAGCATGTCGTTGTGTCCCTGGGCAAGACACTTCACCCCAAATTGCTCCTGTGGGTATTGTCCACAGTATATTGAGTATGTATGCTTTGGATAAAAGCGTCTAACAGGTAACATGTAATGTAATGGAGGAGACATTTGATTGGCTATATAGAACAAAGTACGAATCGGGTCACCGTCAGGGGAGTCTCAAAAAACCCACACATGAATGCACAGCGATCCATGCACAGAAAGCGGGTTGTGTTTGCAGGTGCAGCGGTTTTAAACGGAAAACAAATATGTGTGGATCAAAAATACATATGTAAAACTTTTTTCTGTGTAAAACTTTTATTTACATGTAGCCTATATGAGGAAACGGAAAACATGCGACACAACTCTCTGAACAACACAACCCTCTGATGCGTGTGTTGATAGCTTGGCACGCCACTTCCCTGGAACCGTTGCTGCTTCCAGTGTTTCCTCCTGAAGTCTTTGATCACTACCCAGTCACCGGGCTTGAAGTGGTGTTGTGGTGCATCAGCTGGCGTCTGCAGTACGGCTTTCCCCTGAGAGTGGATAGCTGAGAGGGAGACTGAAAGACTTATACAGTAGTTCAACAAAAGGTAACTTAAATTGTCTCAACTTTCAGAAACTAAAATTACATTAACAGAATAATATTCTTTATATCTGTGCCAGTTCGTCTTGTGCCTTGGGCCATCAAGAGAGCCAGCTTTTCACGCCAACAAATATTTGTAGCTGCTTTCACAATGATGACATGCTATTCTCTTTTATTAACCAGTAAAATAGATCTTTACAGGATCAGAATATTTTGAATATTATTAATCTTTATGGCTTTGTAAGATTATATGTCTCTATTTAACACAATGGACATGATTATCACATTTGTTTCAGTCTTACATTTTTATTGTCACTGTGCTTTTTAATATTTTCATATCAATAAAGTTAGTATTTCCTGATCATCTTCTTCTTTTTTTTTATGTAAAATGACCTGTGACTTCCTCAAATGATGTGTTACTTCCTCAAATGTGTGACTTCCTCAAAAATATAAAGCATTTAGAAATTCAAACCAGCAACCACACTTTCCCCAGTCACATACTTCAGGATACTTGCTGCAGAGCTGACCTTCTAGGAAAGAGTTGGCATTCCCATGAGCAATGGAGAAAATCTATGACAATGCTGTTGATGTCAAAACCCTAAGCTCAAGCTCATCAACAATACAAGAAGGTAAGAGTGTCAGACAGAGTGCACTGTGGATTTTGGATTTACTGTACTTTTTTTTACTCCCTGGTCTTCTCTGTGTTCAGGTCCCAGGAGACTTCTCAGAGCGTCTGTTCTCGGTCTGGGGCTGCTGAGTGTTTTCCTGCTGGCTGGACTCATCGGCCTCGCTGTCCACTGTGAGTCTTTCTTTTAATATGTTTAATAATTTCATTTTGAACGTGTGATTTTAAGGAGCAATATTCTGCTCTGAAAGATGCACATTTGACCAAAACATCCATAGTTTTTCTACTTTTCTCCTAGGGCCAAATTAGGAAAACATTAATTTTGGTTTGTGTCAGTATGATTGCATCAGGTAATTTAAGAAACATCTATTTTCATTTCAGATCATAACTCAGTAGGTGTTAGAGATCAGCGGATCAACCAGCTGGTGGACCGACTTCAGAGTTTGATGGGTAAGGGTCAGTGCTTCATGTGGGGATTTGCATAGGGCTCGGTGTGTGTGTGTAAGATATCAATTATCATAATATGTTTTTACAAAATACCTCGATATTGATATTCTAAGGCTGACTATTGATCCTTTCATAAAATAGTTACACAATGACACTTTTCATTAATGATAATCAAGAATTTGTTTTTAATGACTTTGTGTTGAGTGATTTAATTTATAGTTTCTTTTATTTTTCTTCACCCACCATATTTATATTTCTCTGTAAACTATGCTTATATAATTTAGATATTTGCAGCATAATAATAATAATAATAATATAATAATAATAAAATAATAATATAATAATAATAATATAATAATATAATAATAATAATAAAGGATAACAAGGTTTCAAACCAATTTAGAACTGTTGCCGAAAGTCAGACCCAGTTTTCCAGTCGGTCTAGTTACTAACACCGAGATGTTGCCACTGTCTGTGTTTAAGTGGATGTCATTGAAGACTTTAACAAGATCAGTCTCAGTGCTGTGGTGCCTGACTAGATCACATCCAAACAGTTATTTAAATCCCAAAAAAGAGAAGCAGTTGTTCTGCAATGAAATGTGTGATCTCTTTTGATCCCTCTAAAAATGCTTAATAAATATGTTTTTCATTATTATTACAAAAGTGACATATAATGCACTCAAGAGTTCCATATTTCAGCAGTTAAAGCAGTAAATCAACAAGATCTTAAAACTTTTACAGCAAAAACATGTCCTGAAGGATGGAGGATGTTCGGTTGTTCCTGTTATAACCTCTCTACTGAGAAAGCTTCTTGGGAACAAAGCAGAGACAACTGCAGAGCCAGAGGAGCACATCTGGTGACCGTAGACAGTAATAAAAAACAGGTAATGTGTGCTGCTAACACTTGTGATTGTATAACTCCTGCTTTTATCAATCAATAATGTTTTTATTGTACATATACTAGCAAATGTGTCTATCAGCTATAATGATTACGTCACAACAATGGTGTTAATTACATATTTCTGAGCTAGTAAAAAGGGAAAAGTTATCTGAATGTTGATGTCCATCCCAGTAAACTGCATTTTTAATATGTGAACAGGAATTCATCTCTAGCATGATCAAGGAAGCACTTGGATTGGTTTGAGGACAGAGAAGAGGAGGGGACCTGGACATGGGTGGATGGATCTCCACTGAATCTGACGTAAGGCTTTACTTTGGTTTTAAATACAGACGCTGGTTTATGTTGTGACCTTTCTAAATGTTTCACATGTTTCTGTAATGGGAGTTAACACAACACACAGGATGCATTTAAACGTAGGGTCTGCCCCTTTCACCAGAAGATTCATTTGGGTGTTAAGAAAAGAACATGGCTGTATTACTTATAGTTATTTGTATTTGATGTCCAATCTTTTAGTTCATCTTGTTTTCCTGTAATACCTGTTAGGTTTGGGACGAAACACAGCCGGATAATGGAGAAGGGGATCGAAAGATTGGCGAAGAGGACTGTGTAAACATCAGTCCCTCCGCCTGGTGGAACGACGGTCCTGTGAGGACCATCTGCATTGGATCTGTGAGAAAGAAGCTTAACATTGGTGTCTGTTTGGATACTAAACATGCAATCATGCTTTTACAATTTAGTTTAAATCGAGTTATTTAAAACTATACAAAATGTCTGATTTCATAATAAGAATTACTTTGCTCGAATTGATAATCACATTTAGTGTTTTTGTTTAGGATTAATATCAGTAATAAATAAATAGTAATTTAATTAGTTTTTGCCAACTTTTGTTTGCCTCAATTAAATTAGTATTTGTATTAATCCTTTTACATATCTTATGTAACGTTCTTATGAACTGGAAAGTCAGAAAGCCCAACTGCTTCAATTGAAATAGATGGCTGGAGGACTTCCTAAACATCTTCAGTATGGACGAAGCTGCTTTCTCCCTGTTATATTTGGTTAAGCCAGACAACAGGCATTTGGATAAGATAAGGGCTTTCCTGGACTCAAACCATCTCGGCTGCCAATAAAAATATAATAATTATAATAATATTAATTAATAAATAAGAGAAATAAGCTATGAACAAACAGAAAAATAATGGTAATAATAATGAAAGAAGTGAAATTAAATGGGAAATTATTTATTTGACTATTTATCTATTTATTTATTATGATAAATGTTTTGTTTTATAATAATAATGAGGAAACAATGAAGTATATCTATATTATGCATGTATAAATACAACGCCATATGCATCATTAAATGTAACTGACACTGTAATCCCCCCACCCTTCATGTTATTGTCCTGTTCTGTTTGAGTGTTTGAGCCATGTCTTGTCCATATGTTTTTGTCTTTGAAAATGTCTAATAAAATATAAATGTTAAATCTTTTACATATCAACATAAAAACAGCTTATTAAAAAATCTGCTGATAAGCCCACAGTTCCTGAAAGTTATAATATTGAAGGTGCTTAATGAGCAGAATATGATAAAATAAAAAAACTGTCAAACATTATTGAATAATTCAGAAATATACAACAATACTCTAGTCTCAGCATTGGTCTAACTTGTTCAAATGTGTAAAATAGCCTGTGTGTTATACAGTATGTTTCCTAACAATGACCTCTTGTGGCCATGTGAGTACAAATCTATTGCAGGTATTTAACATTCATAGGTACCAGCCACTTTGTACATACTGTAAAACTAGTGCTGTCAATTAATACAAAATGTATGTATGTTTATCACAATAATAATCTGGGACTTTAACTGCAGGATTTGCTCATGTTTCATTTAAAAGTAAACTGCCTTTTATTTGAAGTTAATTACAGACTTTAGTAAATGGGCAAATTAGATGGCAACTTTCTTTGAGCATGCATACAAAGATAAAAACCGTAAAATATTGTGGGTGTATTACATGTTCTCTGACAAGATAAAGCTCTTCTTTATTTAACACAATGGAATTGATTATCTCACTTGTTTCAGTCTTAAATCTGTATTGTCAATGTGCTTTGGCAATAGTGTGTTTTAAATGTGGGCATGTCAATAAAGCTTATTTGAATTTGTCTTGACTCTCAGCGTGAGAAAAAATCAAACATTTCCTTATATCTTTGAGATAGATGTATAGATAATTATCTGGTACAGTTGCTAGGATACCTTTAGCACTTAGAGGTGTGACGTATTGATGGTGTTTTGTTTTGTTTTATCCTCTACGCTATTGCCATTTTCCCAGACATCAGACATCATATTTCAAACTATCTAGATGAAAATATTGATAGGGCTGTTTTTAAGACCTTGCAGCTCTGGGTCTTAGCAGACCCTAGGATCCATGCTCAGTTCCATGCATGGAAAACGTTGGACAGCTACCTTAGGTGCTTGGTAACACAGATGGCAGTCGCACTCTTTTTTCTCTTTTTCTGTTGTCACATGTGTTATCATTATTTTCAGTTTACCCGTGCAGGGTTAAGTATGGATACACTGTTGGAAAATACAAGAAAGGTGATAGAAATTATGTACACAGGTTTAGAAGCTCTAAAAGGTGCATTTTTGAGAAGTGATTGGAGAACTATGTGTAAAGGAGAGTTGTTACACACAGAAAACAACAGAATTTAAACTATGAACATTAATATATTTCACTAATAGTTAATGGCCTAAATAAAACTACCCAATTAAAAAAGTGCTTACACAAATGAAACATCAAGGTGGAGATATTGTATTTATGCAAGAAACACATCATCAAAAGTACTGTGTGTGTGTGTGTGTGTGTGGTGTGTGTGTGTGTGTGGTGTGTGTGTGTGTGTGTGTGTGTGTGTGTGTGTGTGTGTGTGTGTGTGTGTGTGTGTGTGTGTGAGAGAGAGAGCGAGAGAGAGAAAAAGGAGAGAAGGTTTTACTGACACTAACAGATTTGGTTCTCCAACACACTGACGATACAATATAACAAGAACAAAAATAAATCTTGTTGAGTACTAACAAATTTGTATTTGACCGTTGCCCTTGATAATTTACATGTACCGTCTCTTGCAATAATGAGGGATTAAAATGTAGGAAAAAATTCATAATAATTAGGCAATAAGAATTAAAGCTTCAAGCAGCGATGATCGGGACCTCACTTGGGCTGCTCGATTAAGGCAAAAATCTTAATTAAGATTATTTTGGTCAATATTGATATCACGATTATTAAATACGATTATTGT